TGATTGAAATGGCATACATAAATTATTTGTTTTTGAAGCTACAGAAATAAATCTCTACTCTGGATCAGATTCAAATGCTACCACTGTGTACCTAAAATAACTCCAAGTCTGTATTCCTCAAAAAGTAGCTTTGTTTTTACCATGCAACAAGCTGGTTTTGAAGCTGAATTAAAATTCATAAGACTTTAAATTCTAGCATTAAGTCTAATATTCAAAGATAAACAAGACTCTAGGGGATATTCTATGATAGCAGAGTTAACTGTTTTATACAGCTTGTTTTAGACATCTATTGATGTGCTATATAGATATATCTTTTGCTTTTATGTACTAGAAAATAGTTTAGAAATATATTTTATCTTGATTGCAAAGTACCTTCTAGATTTCAATAATAAACTCACTTCAGCACAGGCTTTCAAACAGGTCCTTTTAAAGCCCAAGAGTTCCACAACGCCTTTCTTTGATGGATCCGCCTCATAGGTTTTCTGTACTATATACCGCAATACCACAGCAAGCCCTGCACGACAAAATCTTCCATTCTTTTCAACTACAGCAGGTAAACAGCAGTTTTGAACTATCACAGGAATGTCAGATCTTTTGATGAAGCTAATCTCTGGGTATGCTGACAGTATTTCCTCCATCTGTTGCATATCAGAAGTTATTTCATTTGGGGTTACTAAAAATATCCTGAAGTTCTTACAATCACAATATGCCAACAGAAACAAGGATATAGACGTGTGCAGAGGGTAGGTACAGTCTTCATTGTGACCGAAATAGTCTAGATATAGGTGGTCTTCGTTTTCGCTTTTCATGTTTTCCTTAAAGCAAGAAATGTAATTTTAAAAAATAAGAGCTAGAGTTATCTATTTACAAATCAATGTACTATAACCTACAATTACAGTCCTCATGGAAAATAGATCATTTGGTTTTTCTTTAGAATACATAAACTAGAATTGATTCATGCTATGTATGGACAGCAATCCAATGCCGAGTTCCCTTCTCTGAAACATTTAGGACTTTTTATTTGTATCAGTATAACACCATTACCTTTTGCTGTTCCACCCTTCATATTACTGGTAATTATCAGAATCAAATTTTAAAAATTTAGGTAATTTTTTTAAAAAAACATGGGTATATGCTTGCATATTTCTAGGAAGGTAGAAAACTCATTATTCAGCAGTGTAGTAACATTTTACAACTTTCAAATGGTAATATTTTAAAACTAGATGGCATACCCTCAAAACAATTTAAGTTTAAGAATGTAATATTCTTACAAAAATGTTATAATGCCATTATAACAAGGCTAGTTATCATTTGCAGAATAAGTTTTAATGCTTAAGATACTTTGAAGTTGTTTATCAGCCAACCATATGGTACACTAATAAGGTGTGAGAGGCATCACACCTATGTGTACACATTACTGGAATAGTAATTTATTATATTGTTTATATATTGTAAGAGCATCTCATTCAAGTGCTATTGACAATTTTATTATAGATAGGGAATTTACATCACCTGGGGAGAACGACTTATTCACAATATGGCTGTGATATGAATATGGTCAGCCACAAAAACACATGACTGACAGGTATGACTTCTTAGTCCTAAGGGTGTTCTTTAAATTGAGATTATGATCTGAAAAAATGCTGAGCAGTACTTCACAATTTTTATTTTATAAGAATATTCATGGAGGCTGAGGAGGAAAGAGGCGTTTTTAGAAATAAAGAATAGAATGGAAATTATTTATCAAACTTTCATGTCAAATTTATAGCAGCTTGCTATAATTAAAATATCAATAGTACATTATTTTTAAAATAATGTTTTAAAAATAAAATTGCCTAGACGTAAGGAAATCA